TGCAGAAGATCCAGTTATGCAACAACTGATCGATACTGTGCTAGAAGGTTGGCCTACAGACAAAGCCAAACTTCCAATTGATCTACGAGTTTTCTGGACTTTTCGTGATGAAATTGCAGTTCTAGATGGATTGTTGTTTAAAGGTCCAAAGCTGATAGTCCCTCATTCATTGCGTAAGGAGATGTTAGAGAAAATCCACGAAGGACACTTTGGTATGACAAAGTGTAAACAGCGAGCAAGAGATGTTTTGTTTTGGCCTGGTCTCTCACAAGACATAGAGGATAAAGTATCAAAATGTCAAGTTTGTATCAGTAACCAACGTCAACAGCCAAAAGAACCATTGTTACCTCATGAACCACCCAGTAGACCCTGGGCCAAGGTTGGAACTGATCTCTATGTTATTAATAATCAKCATTATCTTTGTACTGTTGATTACTATTCAAAGTGGATCGAGATGGATAAATTATCTGATGAAACTAGCAAGACTACTATTGAAGTTCTAAAGGGACATTTTGCAAGGTACGGAATACCAGATGAGTTAATCAGTGATAATGGCCCACAGTTTTCTTCAAAAGAATTTGCCAAATTTGCCAAAGATTATGATTTCAATCATATAACAACCAGCCCACACTACCCTCAATCCAATGGGCAAGTGGAACGAACAGTTCAAACYGTCAAGAACTTAATGTCTAAGTCAGAAGATGTACACAAAGCGCTATTAAGCTACCGAAGTACTCCATTGGACATTGTRAAACAATCACCGTCGCAGTTATTAATGGGAAGGAGAATCAAGACAACGCTCCCAACTACTGCAGAGTTATTAAAGCCAAATTCGCAAGACAACGTCAAAGAAAAGCTTACAGAACGAGCTATGATACAAAAGAAGTACTTTGACAAACATGCTAGTCAAGAGCTTCCATTACTACAGGCAGGTGATGTAGTGAGAATGAAACATGGAAAAGAATGGATTCCTGCTACAGTTGCTTACAAGCATGAAAGCCCTCGATCATATGTAGTACAAACACCTGATGGTCGAAAGTATCGACGTAACCGTCGACAACTGAACAGATGCAGATATGATAGTGGAGTTCTAAAGAAGGAAAGTACTCAACAGTTACAACTTCCTCAGTCTAAAAAGGAAACATTAGTTAAACCACAACAAAGTGTTCCTCCACTGACAGCGGCTCAGCCTAGTGAAGAAGCTGTCACAGTTAAACCTCAACAACAAATGGATACCAAATCTGAAGGTACACCACCTAACCAAGTCACAAGATCAGGAAGGRCTGTAAGAAAGCCAAGTTATTTACAAGATTTTGTGTAAACAAGTTTATTACTGAACTGTTYTTGAGTT